CGAGAAAGAGGCCCGTCCCGCTTTTAATTTGTCTGCTCGCGCGCCCACAAAATTGCCCTCCAACAAAATCCTCACCCTCCCATCCTTCCCCACCCACATACATTCCCCTCAAAAATATCATGTAACCTTTGCATGACATGTCCCCCTCTGTCCCCCCCCCTAATCTTTTCCACTCCACCAGACAAAAAATGCATTTCAACCCTCCTACCCAGTCCAACAGACCTAAAACCTCCCTTCCCACCGGCCAAGTCATACCACCTCCCTCTTCATCCATTCACATCCTGAGCCCCATAAGACCTAAAAGAACTTCTAAGGAATACGAGTAATGTCAGCTCACGCAAAGGAAAACTCTGCTACATACCATAACCCTTACAGTACAGCAAGACGATAATAACAATCGCTCCGTTGCAAACAATGTCAAGTGATAAGACCGCAACATCCCCAACCGATGTTCCACGCGTTCCACCATACTCAACGAATTTCGCCTCCCTAGCCTCCCTATTGTCGCTCTATACGAAATGCCACATATTAATAACTGACCTTCCTGCCATCTACACCACATCACAGTCCCCAATCAACTCTGTCTCTCACTCCCCTAGCCACATGAATCTATGTTTTCTCAATTTTACCGTCATGCCCCTGTCGCCAGCCTCCAAACATGCCAACCACCCCCCCAACTCTCCCAATCTTGTTCCCTTCCGGACTAGAGTGTCGTGTCATCCACGTAACCAACCTACCACATGATGCTAATTCAAAGCCCTCCCTCGACCCCTCCGGTCCTCCCCACCACACACGCAGTTCACAACCAACCTATAAAAATGGATCTTGCACACATGCGAATAATAACTGTGATAGCGGGAGCAACCCTGCCTCAAGCCCCTATCGCATGTTCACCACACCTCCCACACGACCATTGATCTGAATCTTCGCTCTTTGCCCTTTATACAACGTTTCAACCCACCCCACAATCTCATCCCCAAAACCTTTTTATGATAAGGAATCTTTCTTAAACCCTCCCCTTACCACCTGATCATAAGCACCCTGCCAACCAATCGCACACCAAAACTCCCCACCTTCCTGCGTCCCCTTTCAAAACTCTCAACAAACCCCTTTAGAATTCCGTGCCCCATGACCATCCCCGACCGTCCTGGCAACCCTAGTTGACCTTTTGAAACTACACGTCACCACTACAACATTTTAAACCTATTCCCAAAAATCTTCGGCGAACAATTTTATAGTCCGCACAACAAGAGTGTAATTCGCCCTGTAATCCTTAAGTGTACTCTCCCTTACCCCTTGGGCACAAGCACAACGACCCCTGTACTTTTGCTTCTTCTCGCCCAATTCTCCCCCCATCTTTTCATTCTGTTGAACAGCGTTACTAAAAAACCCCTTAACAGATCCCAATTTTAAAAAGTAAAATTCACTTGGTAGTCCATCACTACCTGGTGCTTTGCCTCTGCTCATGTCTAACGCTCTCAGCCTCCCATATCGTATCTCCCCCCTCTTCAATCTCCCCACCCAAAGCAGCTTTACCTGTCCTTACTTTCCATTCCCCAAGATACGGTCTCTACAAGCACACACCCCATCAAGATCCTCGCCTATTAACTCCTTTACTTTTACCCTAATGCCATACCGACGCGCATTTCCCGCGAATAAACTCATCACACCGTGTTTTTAACACCTGCCCCTCCCTAAAAAAAAAACCTTTCAACACCTCCAGTGTGCACTTCCAAAATCTGCTAATGTGGTCGCTTGTCCCCTCCTCTGCAGTTTGTCTCTCAACACACATGCCGATTGGCTTATCCCCCCCAAAGCACATCCTCCACACCCGCCTGCGACCTCGCAACCCTGCAATAACTCTCGTCCTCCTGCACCTCTCTTATCCTGCTCTTCAGATCATCAATTTCCTCTGTTAGGAATAACCCCTCCCCCACTACTCATCTACTCCTCCTTGATCATGATAGTATCCTATTCTACTTTCCAAATAATTTGTTAATCCATACTTCAGAAGTCGATTATTATTCCGCTTCCCCTCAGCCCAACGTAAAACCTAGAATCCTTTCCTGTGGCCACTCTGTCCCACCAACGTACAACATTATCAACCCGATTTTGCCTCCTCACTTAGCTTCCTCCCACAGCGCACAAACCCTTCCTCTCCACTTCCACATCCTCAAGAGATCGCGTGTTTAAATTTCCAGATAAGCTTTCAAACCGTTCACTAACGAGTCTCCATGCTACCTAACCCCACCCCACCACCACTGCCCTGTGATCTGAATAAATGCTCTATAGTGTTAAAAGACTCCATGAAAAACCCTTTGCGTTAATAAGATCCAATCCAGTCATAGTCTGCGTATTCCCTCCTAACTTACGTATGTTGCACTCACCTATTCCACCACAAAATTGCAATCTCGTACCCCAATAAACTCTACAACGGTCACGCAAAAACACGTTGAAAAATAACCCTCCCCCAGCTGGCATCACAATCAAATCTCCATATTATACAATCAATCTCCCCCCAATCAAATGCAACCCTGGGCAGTTGCTTCCAAGAAATAACACCAGCTCATTATCAATCCCATACAAAAGCCGATTTTAACCCAGCATCATTCTCCGCCGAGCATACACTCCAACAAAGTACACGCGTTCACGGGCCTCCACCCACCACCCCGTCCACTATCATTAGTTCATTTTTCCCTCAACACCCCCCCCCCTCAACCTTTGCAAAACAAAAACGTCTTGCCTCTCTCTCGAATTAAAACACCTACTCTTCAAATCCACACCTTTTAAACTTCGTTGGGAGTTACAAAAAGCCCTAATCCATCCCCCTCCAGCAATTTTCCTATTTTCAAGTTATGCTCTTGTTATAAAAGACAACATCTACCTTGTAAACGATACAGCAGTCCTCGCAAAACGCAAACACACTTACCACACTTACATAAAGCCCATTAACATTAAATGTCAAACACCTAGGCCTGCTTACGTTTTCCACCCACTTTCCCCACCTCATTTTTTTCCGCTGTCCAGTACCTCATACACACCGACCTTGGCACCTCAACCACCCCCTCCCCTCACTCCTAACCCCATGCTGGCGTTTTTCATTTTTCTCTGTTGCCTCTACACACACCTTCATCCCCGCCTTTTTTTTCCCTGGTCTTGTGCTGGAGTGAGGACGTCATCCAGTCAGAACGTGACAGCTGCCCGAATCCTCGACACTTCTCTTCCGCCATGCTAGTCCTCCCTGACCTTCCTCATTGTGCACCTCCACCTCATATCACCTCATTCCCCTCTCACTACTTGGCCAAGCCGACTTACAATCCTTTCTACAGTACCCTCATTGCTTCCCCTTGTCCCCGTGTAACCCAGTCCTCCCGTCGTTACCTCTGTCAAGGCTTCCTCCTCCGATTTAAGGGAAACAACTCCTGCAAACTGTCTCCAAGCACTACGTCAATTTCAAACGTCATTTGGGTACTCTTTGTCCTGCCACGTGGATCACATCCTCAGCAGACGCACTCATTGCTGCACATGCCACCCTCATGCTCCACCTCACGATGCATTTCCTCCACTTCCTCACTCCACAACCGACCACGCCCTACGTCCATCCTGGCGTTCTGATCTGTCACAGGTAGGTCCTCGCCTCGTAATGTCCACTTTCTTGGTATACCCTGGACCAGTTCCTCCGCCTGCACACATTCCATTCAGCCGCTAAGGAACATAACCACACATCAGACCTATCTACAAAGTTCCTAGTTGGCCAGCGGTAGTTCCGAGTATTTGTGTCCTAAATTCATCTAAGAACACATAACGAAGGTAAAGGTAGCCTCAGAGTCCAACTTTAGGTTAAAACTACCTTCCCGGATAACCCACATAAGCCCCCTGCCGCGTCCACTTGCCTGGTTAGCTACGTGGACAGTTCCTAAACTACCCGAACACAACCTCTTAGGTCAGCTTCATATGGTTGCCTCGAAAAGCACATTACGTAACTTTACATACTAAAAATTTGACTCTAAACATCGACCATCTATACCAGGATGGTGGCCCTCGTTAACCCACACGTTAACCTCGATAGCACATCCTGAAAATGACAAGAAGATCTCATACACGTGTGATGACAGCAGGTTTCATTTCACTAAACAAACGGTAGTTTTTCCCTTTAAGGCTAAAATAACGCACCGTAAATGTTCCAATCCACATTTCCATAATGTCTCGTATCGACGAAAAATCAGAGGCAACAACGTCAACGCCGGAATCATGATTATTGTACCTCTCATTAATTCAATGCCGACAGTGTTAAAAATCTGCGTCTCACCACCCCAACCACCATTGTAACAGCCTTTGCTTAGCACATGCGCCTTGTCAGCTAGGATTAGCAAAAACGTCCACCCACACCGGCAGCCTGGTCGAGGAGATGAAATTAGAAAGGGGACTGTCATACGGGTTGTGGGGTTAGAAGTGTCAGCTGTGTCGCACACTGGCAATAATGAGTAATTGTAAAGAGGGTTTGAAATTATGTGGTATTAATAAAATATAAAAAATAACAAAGGGAAAAAATACAGCAGAAAGTTAGGTTTTGGGTTTCCATGGTAATAATATAATGATGAATATTGTTATGTAATCTTGTGTAATACTTATAACTTAACATAGTACATTGTATGTAATGTATTATGGTTGAGGGACAGGTGGTGACAAAACACAGACGTTAATCGTCTGTGTTCATATAGACAAGTGAGATTTATAATTTTTGGTAAGAACTGATACTTTTTTCTTTTATCTATTTTAAATGTATTGGTTGTTTTAAATAAAAATAAAAAAAAAAAAAAAAAAACAAAAAAAGCATCCTGTGGAACACACTACGTGCATCCCTCTCCTGTGGGGAGTATACTAAATCATATCTTTCCTCTCACCATGGAAGTATATGGTAAAATTATTTTCCTCCCAGTAGGGAGTGAACCAAAACAAAAGGTCGTATTAAAAAAGAGTTAAACGAGTATAGAACCTGAACCTCTCAGCTTGTTGTGAACCCACCATCACTGTTGGAGGACCACAGTGGAACGGTCATCAATGCTCAAGAACAAATCCATGAGCGCTACCTTCCCGCACAGAGATTCCACAACTCAGCCTCATCACGAGGTTGTGACCTATCTGATTACGGTCAAGGAACTCAGCATAACAACAAATAGAATTGATCCAATGAAGTATGCATTAATTTCCACTCAGAACAGCCATTAACCTCACTACCAAGACTGATGAATAATTTTAAAATCTGATGTTTTTATGTAATTATTAATAATATATTAAAAATATTTACATTTTATCTATGAATTGCTATAAAGTGAATATCTTTGCATTTTATAGTATGTCAAGTTATAATGATAAATGTAAAAAAATCTTATTTATATACGAATATATATGAAAAATTATCTTGTGTAGAAATGTTAAAAAAAACTGGATATCAGTTCTTACTGCTAATAAACATCACAAATTATTTACTAGAGACTCATAAAGAAGCAGAACACAAACTACTACAATAAATAACAAGCAACACTTCCAGCAAACTAACAAATAATAACAATAAACTTAAAGAAAGTTATGATCTCACCCCCAAATAGTTACCAACTAGTTTTTTTTTATATTTTATTTAAAACTTCATGTACAAATATACATAGGTACATATAACAATATGTAACATTGACACTGGTGATGCAATAAACATTCACTACACAATCTACTGAATCAACACATACATAGACATAAAAAATGAAACACCAACTATGACTGGTTCTACCTACGTACGTTGTTTGACAAGTACACAAAGTTCACTCGGCAGACTGCATCTTACGTACGTTGCTTCACTAAGTACACAAGGTCATTAGGGGTCGTTCATAGTCGGAGGGCGGAGAGAAAAAAAAAACTCGAAAAATATGAAAATTGGAATTATTGTTACCAAAATAAAATGCTGAACTTTCTGGCAACACTCTGGTATAATTATTATCCTTGTACGGTGTTTATAATAAGGAATTACAGCATTTATAACAGGTCATGGATTGATCTGCGCTGATGCGTACATATTGCGTACAAGACGCTGACGCGGCATTGTTTACGTTTTTCCCCGTGTGATTTTTATCCTTTTCTTATATACGATTATGTCTAATATAATACAAATTCACCATCTGAGATCATTGCCAGAGTGGGCGGAGATAATATAGCATATAGCATATAATATAGATATAGTGTTACGTTACTTTTATATTGTACATTATTATTTTTATATTTTTCATCACTAGTAATGCCCATCTACCTCCAATATCTCTATAATTCTTATTACTGCTATTAACTTGCCTCATAATTTTAAAGTTTACAAGTCAAATCGTTACTCCATCATTAATCTATATTATTTTTTTCTACCTGTCATTTAATTTTGTTTATCACTACTTGTTTTTTAGTCACTTTACATATGTTATGCACTTAATGTATATTCGCCCAATTCTTTTTGCAAGTACCAAACTATCTTTTGCTAGCTAGTACCAACATACCTCATTTTTTTTTTATTTTGTGTGCAATTAAACTGCTCTATTTATCTAATATTAACAAATCAGATCTTACTCCTAAACAATGTTTTCTTCATAGGTGACCATCTGTACCATTTAACTTTGTTTACCATTACTTAATTTTTAAGTCCCATATTTATATTTTCTCCTTTATTTTATTGCTTTATATAACTACCCTAGCTATATACATTCACAATTGTTAAATAATCAAGGTGCTATTCTCAGGTGCTAAATATAGAACAAGTTCACAAATTTTGCCATTATATTCCCAAGCTCATTAATTTGATCATCACTTTATTTTGTATAGTCCCTTTTATTAATTGTGCTCTTTATTTTAGCTTATAAAAAAAAAAAAGAAAAAAAAAAAAAAAAAAAACTACCTTAGTCTCATATTTTACTTTTGTTAGATAATTCAGGTGCTTTTTTTTTGCTTAAGACTATCCACATATTTAATTGTTTTATACTAATTCTAACTATAGATTCACTACAAAGTCTTATGATTACAAGCATTGATCCAGATACCAACCTTTATTTTAATGACTTAAATGAATCAAAACAGTTACTGTAATTCTACACTGAAGAAAACAATCAAACGGCACTTCTCTGGGCCAAATACAATAACTATCTTTAGACTACAATATCAGATCTTTAGCATGCATTACGAATGACATCATAGCATTACTAAAGTCCTTCTTGTAAAATAGTCCATCATTACACTAACTGAATCTGCTAAAGCCTGATAGTACAGATGTCTATGCCTCCTGGCTACACAGCCATACACAAACTGTAAGGCCAGACCAACAAGGGGGGGTGGCACAGCCATATTACTACTCGACCCAACTAGAATTGTATCACTAATACTTGCACAAGAGAATGACATGGGGAATATATAATAGCCAAATTCAATCCAAATACCTAACAAAGAAAACCTCTCACATTGATAAAAGCTACAGAGTTCCACAGTCAAACATTAGCCAATTTAGTCAAAACCTAGGATGTTATGATAACTGTTGCACGCATGAACAAGATCACTTCACTACTCTCAGGTGACTCTCAATGTATAAATCTCCTGCAGACCAGGACCCACACGAGATACTGATTCACAAACACAATGAGTAACTGTATGTTGCTCAATTCGCTGCCTGACCACGGTAGGTGCGGTAGTGCTCTGCACCCCTCTGCTCGTGTGTAGGCGAGCGCCCTTGTCAGTTACTGGCATGCGTGGTGTGAAGTGGTGCTGTCAGACACTCGGCTAACAACTTAGGTGCACTGTGTCGTCAAGATTGGCGGTTATGTCTGAGGACGAAGGATAAATAATGTAGGCATCGGTACTTAAAGGAACGATAAGACCAGTTCTGCACAGTCTTATTGCCAAAGATCATTACGGGACGACTTATGAGTACAAGATAGTGTAATTGTATGGTGTAGCATTGATCGGAGGACAACGAAATTTTCGTCAAACTCTATCAGCAAAACGGTGTAATGAATCGTTAATCACAGGTTTAGGACGTGAGTCTTAACGTCACACCAGCTGTCCACTGTAGAAAGATAGATGTTTCACGGTATTATTACGTGGATCAAGTTACGCAACGTTGCCCTTTGAGGCGGACGAGGCAGATATAGGAAAGGTTTTGAGGAGTATGGGACGGTGCATTAGCTCATACATGGTACGTGGGCGCGGGACCTATGCTGGTTTTCCAGAGGGTTCTTTCAACCTCAAAAATGACTTCTGAGGCTCCAAATTACCATCATATGTGCTACCTACAAGATGTTCAGACGCGGTAATGGGTAATGATACCCAGGAAAACGAAGTACCGTGCGCTTTGTGGTGGAGTATGATCACATAGCGGCGACCTGTGGACAAGCGGAGCATGTGCCTGGACCTGTGGTGGACGTCGCAGCCCTGCTTCAAAGGTGGCAGGTGACGAACAAAACAATGGATGGAGGGGGGCGTGTGTTTTTGTGGAGCGAGATAGTGGAGCGGGCACACGGATGGTGGTGTGTTGGAGTCCCGCCCCAACTGCTTATCAGGTGTCGTCTCCTGTGGATAAGGAGGAGCAGCAAGTACAAGTGAGGTTCTGAGATTGCAGGAGGAATTGGTGGGACGGTGTTGAAGACGTTGTCACCACAGAGAGGGATGTTTACATCTGCAGCGTGGTGTCATTGGAGAATCGTCGCTTCCAGGGGGGGAAAGTCTGAACATGATAATTTGGGACGTGATGGTGCGTTTGGAGTCATCCATTGTCATTACACATTCTGTCAGGTGGAGGTGGAGGTCTCGAGAGGTAACATCCTGATCAAGATATGTGTAACATGACTGTCACAAGAAGTAAGAGGGGCAGCTACATCAGATTCTGATGATCGTCCTGCACGCCTGACAAAGGCCTGGGAAAAAGACTGAGGTGATAGTGTGAGGTAGTGGTGTTAGGTGGTGGTAGCCATGATAGGAGGCACCGGAAGAGAGGGGGGAAGTGGAAAGTGAGCAATCTGAAGAAGTGTTGAACGTAAATTCAAGCTCTGGAGTTGTAAGAGTGATTAGGAGGAAGCAGGGGTGGAAACTTTATAGCCTTAGGTGTATGTTGTAAATTGTTATTGAGTTATGTAGACGGTATGAAGAGAGATTGCGTTTCGTAATTTTTCTGACTAAATCTTATAGTGGATGTTGTGGTTCCTGCAAGGAGCACAATTTCAAAGAGTGGTAGGGTGTGGATGGTGGCAGGGTTTTCGGGTAGTTAATCTGACATATCCCCGTCATATAAAGGTGGTTGTGGGAATTTTGAATTAGGGAGACGAGCCCGTTTGTTTTGCACATGAGAAGCGAATCAGGGGAGGAGGGGGAGGTGGTGTTGCGTGTGGATGGGTGGTGGATGGGTAAGCGTGTGTCTTTTGTGAGTGTGTATGCGCGGCAGAAATTAACATAAAGGTAAAGATATGATTTTGTCATTGTGTGAGGATCTGTGTTTTTTTAAGTGCACTGCCAGAGGTGGCGATAGTTGGTGGGGACTGGACTGTGTAATCAAGGGTGGCTGATGTGGACCAAGAGGAGCTGGATATATGTTGGTGGCTCTTAGGGATTTATTAAGGATGTTGGTACGTGAAGCCTTTGGTGGGAGCGGTGTGGGAGACTGAATATACGTGTTTGTTGGAGTGGTTAGGCTGCGAGTTACTAGATAGAGTTGTACTTTTCAGGAGTTGGACGTAGAAATCTTTCAGTACTGTTGAGACTACAATGTCGATCATAGGGCAGTGGTGGTGGAGGTTGGGTGGGTACGCTAGCGGACTATATAGAGTTATTGAAATTTAATATAAGTGTGTTAGGAGATGAGGAGGGGTTGGAGGGTTTTCTGTCCTATGGAGGTGAGCTTAGTGTGGGAAGAACAAGGGAGGTGGATGACATTGTGACATGTGTGATTTGGCTGTCGCAAAGGAAAGGATTAGAAAAGTTTTAGGTGAGAGAAGGAAAACGTATTAATAATTTAAAAATATGGACTGGACTTAACTATTTTAGAGGATAGGTTAAGAGGTTGCTATGGGAGGACTGGGTTTGGGTGGGTAATAATTTTCCTAATGGATAGGAATAGCTGAAAATAAAGGGGCACGAGGTTTGAGGGGTGTTGCAAAATGAAAGGTTTTCACTGTTAGATGCGGCAGGGCGTG